GAAATTTTTAACTTTTTGCACCCATACTTCGAGACCAATTGCCGATTTTATTTTGTACGTACCTTTCAATAACACGCTGTATTATCACAAATATATTTTTTATTGGTTTTCAAAAAGTATGGAAATTTTTTTGGTAAAAGTAAATGTTGTACCTATTTATCAATGTATTAGACAATGGCAGAATAATTAAGTGACTATAATAATGGTTTTGTACATGATTTCGGAAGCAAATCAGCTTTTTTTCAAGTGCTAATAAAGTAATTAGGGTAAATGTGTACAAGAGTACGCATATGTATAAGAGTACGCACTGATGATTTCTGCTTATTAGTGCCATTTGGGTAAGATGAAGTTATACCATTCACAATCCAATGCTAAACTTGAGATAAAGGTGCAAAAGTGACCTGTATATAGTTTATAGTTTGATCGTACTGACGATTTTATGTTTACGCGTTGTGTGGATGTAATTTTTACCGCTCATAGTTTTAGTTTTTTGTAAGGTACGTATCAGTTCTTTTATTTTACAGTAATAATTTTCATTAGCTGTAATTTTTAAGGTGTCGTTATACACTAGCAGTTTTACACTTTCTATCCATCAAAAGCTTTTAACTTTGAAAACATTAGGTTATGTACAAATGTACAAGAGTGCGCAGCGAGGTATTGTATAAGAGTGCGCAATACTTGCGATACGTGGTCTTGTAGATACATATTATACTATAATGAATTATTTAACTCTACTACTTTGTACTGCTTCTCAAGTTGTGTGGTGGTGGTTATGGTGATGTTTGTTTTTTAATTTTTTACTTCCTGAGCGTAAGCGAATGAAGTATTGTAATCGAGTCCGTCGAGCGACTCTCTACTTTTACGTTTTCTCGAATTTCAAGACCTCTAGAGTACGAAGAAATATGGATCCCGTTGTATGTGTAGTCTGTAGTCACTTGTCTCCATTTATTTTCACCTTAGAAACAAAGATTTTTTCATAAAATATAATGAACACTTATAAGCGTTCAAATGCGCACTCTTGTGCAGTGAACTGTCTAAGAGTGCGCATTTACACATCTTGACAAAAATTGAAATTACTCTTAAAGTATAGTGGTCTTGGGACGTACAATTAAATATATCTGGTCTCTAAACATGTATATGACGAACCCATATCATAAAATTTGTCTATCCAAAAAAATTAAAAAGTTATTGACAGTTTTCCACTAAGTGCGTACTCTTGTACACATTTACCCTAATTTACCAAAAAAATTATAAGTATTTAAAATAAAATTACCTAGAAATAAAATAAATTTTACAATGAATAACAAAGATCAATTCCTTTTTCAGAAATATAGGTAAACGAAATCTGTTAGGAGGAGAAATATATCTACAGTTTATTGGTGTTATATCATTTTATATTCAAATTAAATTTTTTTGTTCAGTCATCATCCGCAGTCTTTGGAAACTTTCTTCAAATTTTCTGCTTTCAGTGCTATTTTATATTTCACGAAAACATTACATTCACAGATTTAGTTTACACTAATAAACTGATGACCAAAAAATGATAGTTGAGTCTACAATACTATATTTTAATGACCAGTGTTATAACTCATAATATAGTGGGATATTTCAAATGAGGTTCTTGTGAAAATTTGATAAAAATTTGGTAGGGTAAAGTCAGGAGAGTTGGACCAGTGGGAGAGACGGTCCATTAGCAATAACTCTGAACCTATTGCAAAAATTTAAATTTCCTGCGAACTGCAGTTGCATTTATCTGCATTCATGTCGGGACATGTGAAAATACTTTTGTTTCAATTAATTGTCTTGCGTTATTCAACATTAAAATTTTCTTGCGGGCCTGAAATTTCAGCCGCTTAGTTTGCGATAACGTTTGTTGGAAGTCTGGTAAGTTTGTATATAAAAGTTATAGATAGTGCAATTAATGGAAGCTTTATCTTTGATTTTAACCTCACTTTACGTGATTTTATCATCTAGTTGTCCCGCAATGTAGTGGTCCATCTGTCCTAAAATAAAAGGATAGATGATCCAAGGGTGTAACGGAGAGATGGACTTATGTTCCATTTTTTAGAAAATGCCAATTACACACGAAAAACCAACGCAAGGTAGATTTGTATTGCATCTCTATGGCTATTAATTTTTAGGTATAGCGGGCAAAATATGGTTGGCTTCTTTTTTGGATTCAATAATGTGTACTACGATGGTTACACGAGGGATGTACGAGCTATGAGGTCCTTTGTCAAACCTGTGGAAACACTATTAACAAAAAGAAAAAGTAAAAATTTGGTGGTTTATCTATCCAACCTAAAATGGTCCGACTGTCCTACCCTTGACAGGATAGTTGGACCGTTGCAAGCGTTTACCATTTTTTTGTGATGGGTTATCATATTGTGTTGGAACAAAAAAATTACTTGTACCTTAAAGAATAAATGTTCAGCTATGTTCTTGTAAATTTTATATTTTTTTAAGTTGTTAAATAAAGGAATTATATTGAGTTTTTTAAAAGGTGGTCCAACTCTCCTGAAAAAATTAAACTTAGAAACGTCATGTGATCAAAATAAATGAAGTATATCCATATACATGTTGAGGCTACTTTAATACAATATATTTAATTATTTGTATAAAGGTGTGCTGCAATTAAGTAAATTGTTACCACTATCGTGCTTGGGTAAAAAAAGTGGTAGGTAAATACTTAATTACGGTAGTTACATCCTGCATAATAATTTTTTTCTGATATATTTCAGAAGATACATACCTACAGAGCAGAAGGAGTGTAAAGCGTTACCTAATTACATTTTGCAAGAAAACAGTTAAGGGTTAGTTAGGGTTTTGTTTTCATTTAATCTTTACACCATGGCAAAAAGCATTCGTTAAAAGGCACCATTCTTGTAGATAATTAAAAATATCTTAAACAATATATGACGTTCTAACACTGTAAATTATTATCGAATAAAATGACCACAGTAGTTACTGTACGACATCAAAAAGAAAAAAAAAAAAACAAATGTAGGTACAACTCTAGTTGTGCAAGCCTTACTTTAAGTAGGTCCACCTGTTTTCCCAACTAGGTATATTTTGGAAAATTTATTAATATTTTCTTACTTAAAAAAAAACTTAAGTCTTTCGGGTTTAACACTGTATCAAACAGTTTTCAGCGGCGCCTCTCAAACCAGTGTTTCTCAAATTATTGTCAGATTGACAAATTAATAAATATTTTTAAAATATGCAAGACGAGTCTTAAAATTATATTTTAAAAAGATAATTTTATTTGTGATGAATGAATTAATTAATATTAGGTAATTTCTATAAAAATTAATCATTAGTACATTGTATTGTTAATTTTACAACGATGACAGATGACGTACAAAGTGTATCTATATTGAAGTACGGATAAAATCTTTTGTACCCTATTTTATTTGACAAGCCCCTTTGAAAATATTTTAAAAGATGGCGCATGTTGACAGTGACAATTTGGAACGGTATTAACAAATTTCGTTCATAAGAAACTTTAAAAAATATTTAATACACTTTTAAAAAACGAGAGGATGGAAAACACTTGGATTTATTTATGAATTAAGTATTTAAATAATTAGGGCCATCTGTTGGCCATTTGGAAGGGTACCTAACACATAATACTACGAGTGTCACCACTATATTTTTGTTACATTATGGTTATAACAATATAAAAATCAGGTTAAGGTAAAACCCTAAATAGTAGGCACATTAAAGCGCATTTTTATTAAAAGATTTGACACTCCTGTGTGAGTAGGTATTCGATAACAAATACGGACATCGTGTGAACCATAGTAGAATTAAGGTGTTCGTTTGATCTTATAAATTATAAGAAGTTTTATATCCATAGTGTCACAGTAAAAGAATAAATGTATTTAATCTATATTTATTTTTCGGACTGTAGACACGTATTATCTCCCAATTTAACAACCCTAGAAAAATTTTGTTTTCTGATTAAATATAATCAGTTGCATATGATTACAACTACTTGTAGTTAATGTATTAAAAAGTTTAGATAATTTTTACAAAGCTGTTGTCAAAAAAAAGAAAATACCTATATACCAATAGCAAACAAAATTTTTACTTTATATAAAACTGATAGGTCTAAGCTTCCCAAAAAATAACGGGTGATCAAAAATCTTCTTATTAGAGTTGACTATAGAAATATTTTTATTTTCTTGGATTGAACCTGAAAAGTTTACCGCTTTAATCAAAATGAACAATATTTCCATCTGAAAAATTTTAACCGTAAGTACCTATACCTACGTTAGCTTAGTTTTAACATTTTTTCAGATATTATAGTTTTAATTTAAATGTAATACTTATTATAACCAAACAAGCAGTTTGATACAATTCTAAATTTAAGTCTAAATGTCAGTAATTTGATGATTTTCTTTATTCCACAGTACAGGTCGTGTTCGTCCTAAGTTTAGTTTTAAATTTGGCCTGTTCTCATGTCTAGAAATAGCAATTGAGACACTTATTTCTCCAAAATAACGTCAAAAAGATAAGATTATTGTTGTTTTGAAACTTATTTGACTTGGTTTAGCAAAATACAAAGCTGTTAAAACTGTTTTAACCAATCGAATCTCTCACTTTGACGCCTTTCGTGGATATCCATTACTATTTAATGTAAGTCTAAATTAATTATCCGTAGAGTACGTATACCTACTGTAGCACTTTACAATCGAGCTGCTAAGCAAACCATCTACGCCACTGTATCTTCCCCGTCCAGTGATATACTCAAATATTTTTAATTTCCCCGGCATATTACAATTGTTTAAAATCCCCGGCATATTAAAAATGGTTATATTCTGACAGTCAAGTTCACTTTCCGATTGTCTATAAAGGCAGAAAAAAATTCGCCCACCTGAACTTGCTTTAATTTTTCATTGGGGACGGTAGAAATAGGTAACATCCATATGTACATACAAATAACGAATATTTTATCTTTGACTTGTGCGCTTCATTTACCCTATCGCTTCTCTTACCTTTACCGTTGTGCGTTTCGCTGCCGCTATCCTCTGACGGCGGTCCCGGCGGCGCCCTTATACCATGTCCCAATCCTGGTGGGTATCTTGGGCGGTTCAAGGGCGCAAAAGCCCCTGGCATACTCAGCAGACTAGCCGCCCCCGGGAACTGTAACAGAGGGGCCCATGGAGGTCTCGGCGCCAAATGTGCCGCCGCCGCCGCGTACAACTGTAAAGGGGGCGGCAAGACCCCCGATTCCAGCACCATTTCGCTGAAGGGGTTCACTGTGAAAACGACTGCAGTCAATCACTAAAGTCACTCTGATCCAAAGTATCCATTTTCGGAAAGAAGGTAAAATGCTCACTCCACCATGGTCCGACGGGTGGATCTCAGTGGTACATCGGGTGAGTTTTAATTAAGGTAATTTGCGCCCATTCAGCAATGCGTAAATCAATTTCGCACTATTGCCGCCTTCATGAATATTCACGGGCTGTCATTGTCGATTAACAGTTCTGCACAACACGGTACACGTTTGACACTTCCACACGAAAATCGCGATTTGTCATTCTTTTCGATGTATGGCTTAGTTTCTGTCTGATGTCTTTACACTTGATCACACTGTATATTGAAATTGGGATCTCGGTCCATGTGCACTGCATGCAAGTGAACGTTGCGTGTCTGTTTCCAGTGCCTGTTGGAGGTTCACTAACCATAACATTGTATAGGTCCGCGTAGAGGGCGTAACGGTTGCCACCTTTTATTTGAGTAAATTGTGATTGGTTTGCGTAAAGACCGCCTTTCGTGTTTTCCCGCCCAAATTGCTGAATATCATTAGTGAGGTATGGGGTGATGCCAATATGTTCCTGTTATTTATTGTTTAGGGTTTGATGTGTTTTTGGTGTAGTTGAATTTGGATTTTTATTATTTTTTGATGGATTGATAGCGGCGCTCTTTTGTGATTTATCGTTAATTAGATTTTCCGTTTTAATATGGGAAAATTTCATGACTATTTTTGTATTGTACACGAATTAATTTCTCTCATGGCGTAACACTAATTTGTCATTTTTAATATACCAGCTAATTACCATATAAAGTTGTTTGCTATTATTTTTGTGATAAGGCGACCTCTTTTATTTAATGCACTTCGCGCTTTGCGAAATACACATTATAATGAGCATTTTGTGATTAACAATCATATTGTGGAGAAATAAAATTGTAACACCATTTTGTCGCAATTTTAGTTAAGGTATTTTTTGATGTTTAAACAACGAACAAAATACTAAAATACCTGATTAGATACATGATTTACGAAAAAAAAACTAAAGCAAATGCACCTTGTATTTGTAGTGAAAAAAATCACTTTACCTAGACAGTTGAAGTATTAAAATTTTACTCAGTTTTCAATAATCTTTGTTCACAATTTTGTATCTAACCTACACTATATGTGTACAGTTAGATACATAAAATGATATAAAAAGTTTAATGTGGGGCTGTATAAAACTGAAAAATTGTCTACTGCGGTTGAGTAAGTGGGATCTCAATTTTTGAGTGAGATAAGTCTCGTAACACCATAGTGTGATACAATATGCAGATGTAATTTATTATGATTTTATTAATTAAAAACATCACGAAATACCTATTAATATTAATGATACAGTAAGATACGTTAATAATATTCATACCAGCTACTCAGTCTACAATATTTTTCAGTTAAGTAGTAGATAAGTATAGATGAATCTTTATTATAAAATATTCCACTGTAATTTTTTCTTACAGCGATTATGTGATGGATATAGGGCCAAAATCACACCCAGAACTGTTTCTTTATATCTTGCCATTTTAAGATTATTTTTCTAGACGGTGCGCACGAGCCACACTTGTAATACGAGTAAATCCGAGCTATAACAAATGAAATAATTATTATGGTACTTTACAAAGATATAATCGTAGAAAAACTTGTTTTTATCTTCATCGTTGACTAATTGTTGGGCATGTTCGCTTGAGGGTTCTTAATTTTGCGTTTTGCCATTTTTTCAGAGAACAGAATATTCGTCGCATTATTGGTCCTAAATTTACTTGTAAATTTAGTGCCACACCATCGCATCGTCTAAATATTTTTCTAATATTTTAAATTACAAACGTTTTTTAAGGAAAACATAAAACAGGTACCTACTTATTAGAAATCATAAGGGATAATCGATTTTTTTTTAATTTGTCTCTCTCAAGATATTGACGCATTTGAATTTTATTAGAATGAAGCTTTCTCAGTCATATCTGGAGCACCAAAAATTTTGTACTTGGCATTTAGCAATTTTTTTCTGAAATTGTAATATCGCGAGATCGAAAAAGAAATCAGTCAAAGTTGGCCACGGACGACAAGCCGTTTGTCGTAATTTAATTTTTTTTATTAAATGTCAAACTGACAATTTAAAATTAGAATTATGACACCTATACTTTTAAAGCACATAAAAATGAATCAAAATTACCGTTTTCCAGTTTTATCCCATTTCTGAAGTAGGTAAGATTCTAATAGGGTAAATGTGTACAAGAGTACGCACTTAGTGTAAAACTGTCAATAACTTTTTAATTTTTTTGGATAGACAAATTTTATGATATGGGTTCGTTATATACATGTTTAGAGATCAGATATATTTAATTGTAAGTCTCAAGACCACTATATTTTAAGAGTAATTTCAATTTTTGTCAAGATGTGTAAATGCGCACTCTTAGACAGTTCATTGCACAAGAGTGCGCATTTGAATGCTTGTGAGTGCGCATTACATTTTATAAAAAAATATTTGTTTCTAAGGTGAAAATAAATGGGAATAAGTGACTACAGACTACACATAAAACGGGAGACCTATTTCTTCGTACTCTAGGGGTCTTGAAAAGTCGAAAAAACGTAAAAATAGAGAGTCGGTCGACGAACTCGATTACAACACGCTCAGGAAGTGACAATTAAAAAAAAATCACCATAACCACCACCACACAACTTGAGAAGCAGTACAAAGTAGTATAGTTAAATAATTCATTATCGTATGATATGTATCTCCAAGACTATTAGACTACGTATTGCAAGCAATGCGCACTCTTATACAATACCTCGCTGCGCACTCTTGTACATTTGTACATAACCTAATGTTTTCAAAGTTAAAAGCTTTTGATGGATAGAAAGTATAAAAGTGTTAGTGTATAACGAGACCTTAAAAGTTACAACTAATGAAAATTATTACTGTAAAATAAAAGAACTGGTACGTACCTTACAAAAAACTAAAACTATGAGCGGTAAAAATTACATCCACACAACGTGTGAACATAAAATCGTCAGTACGACCAAACTATAAACTATATTCAGGTCACTTTTGCACCTTTATCTCAGGTTTAGCATTAAATTCTGATTGGTATAACTTCATCTTACCCAGATGGCACTAATAAGCAGAAATCATGAGTGCGTACTCTTATACATATTCGCACTCTTATACACATTTACCCTAACAAAAAACCTTTAATTTCGTTTGATAACATGGCAAATTACTTTTGTCACGTGACGTTTAATAAAAAATTATTTTAAACTAAGACAAACAGCTTTTCGTGCATGGCCAACTTTGACTAATTTATTTTTCGATCTCTCTGTATTATCTCATGTTGTTTAAAAATTAACCACCCTGTGTGCACAGGTGTTATGGCTAAGAACATTTTTAACAAATAAAAAATTATAAATAAAGCTATGTTTTAAGAGTATTGATTCAGTTTCATCTTCTAAATTTTAAAAGCTGAACCTAATTTGCAAAAATGGCAATGAATCTGATAAACGTTGGTACAGGGCAAGGAGCTGTTGAAAACTACACTTTAATTAGTGGCTGAATCATTTAGGGACGAAGGTTTTTGTTAATGAGTGGTAGAAATAAGTGGTTAAATTATTAAAATTATCGTTACATATTTTTGTTAATTGTTTAATTGTTTCATTTTTGTGAAATTTTCTGTATTTAGGTCCTGTGTGTTTAGTCATCATTTTGGATCTGACAAATTGTACATAATACATTATGTAAATTCAAAGAGATATTTTTAATTCAATGTTTTCTCCAAAAGACGTCGTTTGAAAAATAGACAGATTTCAGTGTTTAAAAACAATTTTTAAGTAACTTTAAGTAACACGTATGTAGCACTATAACTTGAGTATTGGTAATAAAATATTAGTTTAATACAAATATGTTTTAATAGTTTTTTGCAATTGTCGATTTGTATAATGCTTTTTTTATTAAGGAGTAATTAATTCAGATTGCAGATCAATGGATACCTCAAATTCTTTTTTGTGAAATAATATTGTCTCCTCTAAGGAAAGGTGCTCCATTTGCATAACTCCTACTTGTGATGAATGGCGACTCAAAAATTTTTAGTTTAATTAAGTATTTTGTTTTCTGTTTGCTCGATTAAATTAAATAAATTTTTTTATTTCACACAGTGTATTGTAAATAAGCACCATCAAATACTTTTAGTCAAAGAATCTACCTACTCGTACCTATCTACTGGTAAAATTTTGGTATTTAATTACGGTACTCTTGTATGTATGTAGATATTTATAAGTAGATAAAGTGTTTACTTTATAGTTATACTGCGACATTGGTGTCAACAGAAGAAGATTTTTAGGTATGATTGTACATAGTTACCTATACTTCAAGATGGATCTTCAAAATGTTAAATATGTTTAAATTATATACATAATTAGGACCTTACATATTTTCTGTATTTTTGTCTTGACTCTTTTAGGTACATTTAAAATTTATCTACCCTACCCACCAAATTTTTGTAAAATTCGATTGAGCTACGAAATCGGAGTAACAGAACTGAACTGTAAAGTTTATTTACAATTCATGATTTTTATTTCGAATGTGATTTTATAAATAGGTATAAACTAATTCTGTGGAAATAACGTTTTCACAAGATGTAAAATAAGAATGCTTTATTGCTAATGAAGAAGGAATTTTTCTAACTAGTCCTAGGCTGTTAACATAAGAGACATAGTATTTTAGTTTTATTGTTTGAAAATAATAATTTCAGTGAACTCAAATAAATTTTCAAGTAAATTAATAGCTAGATAGCTTGTCTTAAAAATCCACTGCTGTGCAGTAGGTATATTATTTTTCCTCACCAATAACCAGGATGACCCGGAACATTATGATTAGGTATAATACTTTGCCATTATTTTCATTTTTATTTCTTAAAAATATCTTGCCGTGATTTATTATCTATTCCAAAATTTATTTATTAAATTTAATTATTAATTAATTATTAAATTAAATGCTTGTTGTTGCGATATATATATTTACCTACGGGGCTTATACGTTAATACAGCAGTAATAAAAAAATGCACCTTTTTGGGGGCCAAAGAAAAAACTTGAAATTTATTTCTTTATATACGCATCGAAATGCAACAAGTGCATAAAATAAAGAACTCTGCAAGTAGGAAAAGTCAATTTATGCACGAGTTTCATACTATACTTTTTCTACGTCCATTCTTTAATTTTGTAATAATGAATCCACAATTTGACCCTCAAACACTGCTGACCTCACATATTCAAGCAGTTTTAAATTTATTTCTTCATTAAAACTATAACATGATATAACATTGACAATAAGACCATAATATAGTTATTTTTTGCGCAGTGTATTTTATTCCACACTTAATTCTCTATA